ATAAGTCAAGTTGGTAGATGATCGGAACCAGCGAAATGCTATCTGCTGTGCAAATGGTAGTCGGATTGAGTCCAGTGCGCTAAGACTCGTAGCGCTTCACCCATCTTTAGCACACTACGATAAACCTCGACTTTTTCGAGTAAAAGTGAACTCAGTAAGTGAGACAGAGACAACCTACTCTCAGCGATTTGTCTTCGCAACCCATCTAATGGGGGACGCATACTACCAGATATTCCTCGGAAAGGATGCTCAAAGGAAAAGAACGATCAAGGTGGTCATGCAAAAAACAACAGCAAGAAAACCATATTTGTTTATGATGTTACTGAATTACCGGATTCTCCTGATGACGAAGCGCCAACTCATGACCTAGGGCAGTGGTGCTACATCCACGAAACACTCTCTGGAGGTTGTCGCTACATAGTTGAAGAGAATTCCTTTATCGTCAAAGTACAAGGGCTGCAATCCAAGCTTAATGAGAATGGTGCTACACTCCGAAAGAATGGAAGAAGTCTTAGAACATAACCAGCTGAAGTTTTGCCCCAGGTTGCCAACAGAGATTTGGCTAAATGGCAGGCGCGTGACCACGAGTGTTCTTTGATTCATTGAAACATGCAGCCTCAGTAAATCCTTTTTCTCCACAGCCCTGCGAAGTGACAGTTACAACAGCCATCGTGGCACAAGGCAGGACAGAGCGACTTGCGAGAGAACATCGCGATCCGCAACGCTCTGTGCTACCACGCAGCTTGACAGAAATTCAAGAACAAACTTCCCAAACAAAAAACGATTGGCGGTCGATCTCCAAACGCACAAATCAACCCCCAATTTGATGTCCACCAAGGAAGTGCTAACATCCAAAACACTAATCTGTTTCTACACTAACCCCAAAGATCTTAGTGTTGTCCGAACGTTAGGCTTTCTAGTCGAAGGATCTTACTTGATTACGGAAACCTAGTTTAGCCTTGAGATAGTTGTTTCTGACGTCAGTTTGCCTGGTGTACCGCTGCTTCGAATGATAGAACTAGAAGAGGTGGTGATGGTTCTATTCTTAATTATAAAGCTAACCTCCGGTATGAACTTATTGACCACCCAGAAATCCTGGACCCTGATTCGCTTTGGTGACGGCTATGGTTGTGTAACAAGGACACATGTCTTACAACCGTAATCTTCCACAGGGTTTGGTAAGTAAGGGTCGCCGGTTCTTGGTTTTTATTAACGGTCTAGCGAGTGTTATCACCTCAAAATGTTTACCCTTCGCGGACAATGTTAAGCATTGGTGGGTGATCAAGGGATTGGGCGACCTCAATAAGGTATGGATTTGGTCGGTGGTGAACACACTACCATTCAATGTGGACAAGTGCCGCGTTGTCCACATTCGCCATCGACAAACCTGTATCTACAATCTTGGGGCGCACTATATGAAGACCTCGGTGTGCTGGTGCAGGACTCCCTCAGTTGTTCCAGGCAGGCAAAGTTCGCATCAAAAAGAGGCAACCAAAATCCTAGTCTCTTGAAGAGCGCACTAGGGAGTTTGGATTCATCCATCTTCCCTCCGATGCTCAGTGCCTACGTGCGTCTGCCCGTTCAATACGCTACCCATGCTTGGCAACCTTGGCTAGAGCGTGATCTCGCAGCGCACGATAACCCACAATGTCGAGCGACAAAATGTCAAGGGCCTGCGCAACTTTCTGTACCAAGTATGTAGTGGACGCTACCGGCGGCTACCTGGAGACCATATTAGGATACCAAAAATCTGAGCGAACCCGGTCTCATATGCCGCCACCCATTGTAAATCAGCCCGAACAACAACCACTGAGGTAATGGCTCGAAGCTGAGTCAACAATACAGTCGTAAGGATTGTCGACAAACTTATTTCACCCTCCAGATATGCCCACACTGGAACGACCTACAATACTCAGTTGTCTGTGATCCCACCCTTGCTATGTTTAACAAATTATTGGATATCGCAATGAACTCCATACACTTTGTTAAATGAACGGATACACTTAGGCTAACTAGGTTCTTTGGAATTATAACCCAAAATGGCGCACGTAATTCTGTGCAAACGAGTGAGCAATCCGATTGTTATTTGCTATTAGCATTAATCATAACAACTAGTTAATCCGTTATGCGTGGTACCATTTCAGACCCACCACCCGATCAATTTTATACAATTACTCCATCAATTCAAAAAGAAATCACTACCAGCAAATCCTGACACAGTGTCCACAACTTTGCATTGACGACGAATGTTTGACCTCTTCCACTTCAGTAAAATACCTGAGAGTGACGCTGATCAGTGGGCTTACGTGGTCTCTTCATTTGGTCTAAACATTCGCTAAGGTTAGAAGACTCTCTCAGGTATTCTTCCGTATCCCAATGTTCGATCCAACATTTTATCACTGGATGCATGTTACCCTACTGGACCTATTGCTCTCCAGTTATTCTTCCTGGTCTCCTGAGTAAGGACCTTAAAGTAATTGCCAAATCAGTACAATCTATATCCCGGTGTAGTGGAAATTCAAGGACAGAAATTCTCACCATAACTATAGCCAGCCATGTGAACTCCTGTAAAAGGTTTGTATTCAAAATACTCACAGATGGCAGCCATCCCCTCCACAGCGCTTTGTCCGAATGCTTATCAACCTCCTTGACCAGACAGATATACAAAACCACGTACACCGCACAAGCGCCTATGGTACATCTGTAGTTCCTTTACTGTCATGCTTTTTGAACGATACAAATTCAGTCGTTCAAGAACTAAGAAGTGAATTAGTCTAGCGATATTTGCTCTGCCAACTCTTTTTTTTAACGTTCGTGGTTTTACATTAGTCCGCATGTACTATTCTTTTTCACTATTTATACCATTCTGTGGCTTTAGGTTACAGATGAATATTCACCATTCAAACGTACATAAAGCACATTCTTGACTTGACTGGACTAACTCATATCTGTTAATATTGCAGCTTCTACCCCAGATATCCTACTGGACTTGCCAAGCGCGTACTTTTTTTACCCGTGATAAAGCATTGTTCATTCGCCGAATCCCATTGCGTGCGATATGCTTAACCGTGCGTTGTCTTTTTTATTCCAGTGCGGGGAGTTACCTGATCTCTTGCGCATCGTATTGTTGTGCTCTACACAGCATGTCTGGAAGCGCATGTGTAGTGGGCTGACCCGACCCAAAGGCATAACTGGATCCTCAGTCCATACGATACAAGAGTGGTAGGGACATTCATGAATTTTGCGATCAGTCTTGAAGAGAGAAGAAGCTGTGTGGTAGCCTCATATGTCTTCCCCATCTTGGGAATTGCTTTGACATCCAGCTTTGAATTTGCATTCTACCAATATCTTCAATGATGTCGCGGAGACCCGCATGGATGTTCCCCCGAGAAACGTAAATCCAACTACTCAGCCCGGGGAGAAACTCGACAACGAAATCAAAATGGACCTCGGTGACCAGGGTTCAGGTCAAATTTGACATGGAAAGGTGTATCTGTAATGTTCTGTTCAAAGGCAGACGCCTCCACAGACAGCTGTATTCAACAGAATCGAGAGCAGTCTCTAATCCGATAGAGACGACAACTGATGGTCTGTTAACGTTGGGCAAGCACTTTACGACGTTGTAATATATGGTAGATGTATTCGTAATTGGAATGGAACTTTAAGTGGAATGCACTGGTAAAACTTTCTTGAAAGGTTGACGAACGTCATCAGTGTACAATTAGGGTAGTGTAAATTAGACTGGAATTAGGATGCTTTTCGCAACACCTTCTTTACGATTTGTTGGTTAATGGATGATTTTTACTAATGACAACATTTCAGCAATCCAGTTAGTGAATTTTTGGAGACTGTGCGCATGAGTTACAATTGCAATGAGTCGCTTTGCAAGCGCTCCGTTTGGTTGCGCACTTGTCTAACGATGCACTGGGGTTTGGTATGCAAATTTTCCACGACGCTTTCTGTTTTGCTGTTAGTTCATGCTTTACACAAATAAGTAAACATTTTACTCTCGACAGCGTGAGGCACGCTCCAAACGTAAATAGTTTACTATGGCCACGCGGAGAATGAAGCCGTTGCCACTTAAAGGGAGTAATCTTGTTCGCTGCTCTGTGTTTGGCATGGCTGCTTGGTTTCTAACTTACAAGACACGAGTCGCCTTTGGACCATCTTACATTTTTAGACGGAACTTTATTATTGCAGTAACTTAGATCACGTTTATAATAGATATATTTTGAAGCATGTAGGACAAAACCGACTGGTTTCATCATCTAATGGACTATTGATGCGGAAAAAGCCGGAGTTGGGAATCGACTCTTAAATGCTACTGTCTTCCGGCATGTGCCTATGCAACTAAATGATTGCGGTAACGTTGCTGAGAGAGGCACACTCAAAGAAAGGGCAGTCGAAAAGAAGCACACTTGTCAGTGAGATCATTGGAAAACAGTAGTATGCTGTCTATCGGAAAAGCTAGGCACTTGAAATTTATAGTATTTAAACAAATGACGGATAAGTACTGTGCGCTTGAATCAGTTCAATGAACCAAGCAGAGATGTTTAGAAATGCTGCGAGGCCCCGAAGTAGACATCATCTAGTTCACAATACATTGGTTGTTAGTGAACGAACGCCCGTAGTGTCACACTGCCTTTTTGTTTAATTTGCTTTCTCTTCTTGATTCTCTACCGGTAGGTGCTGTGTTATGGTAACGCGGAAATAAAAAAATGTGTTCCCCTAACTTCAGTAATAAGGGCTTGGTTAAATGGAAATTAGTTGTAGGCCCTTGACATGTGTTCGCGTGAAACGGTTATGTCACACCTATGCTCTTAACTTCGATAGAATAGTTCGATTGATCGAATCGATCGAGGAGATTGACCGGAAGGCTAAAGTGCGATTTCGAGTCCACATACTCGTAATCTAGAGAAACTTGGCTTATGTCATCACACAGGGAAGGGTTATTACAGACGACAAAAGCAGTAACTCAGGGTTATCTAGGGATACATTACCTTGTTTTGTGGCCATTTGTATCAAGAAAGCGCCCTGTATTCCAGCCTCGGTTATCTTTATCGACGCATCTTTCATTCTCTTCACGATTGAGTTCCGCATCTCCTGCAGGTTCACATCCAGTGTTTCATTGTTTACCGAACTTGTTTCATCACTCAAGTAGAATGGAACTTTGGTACACACAGAGAGGTCTGGAAAGTGCAATACCTCCTGTTCCGCTTTGATTTGGGTGGCCACTGGCATTGCGACGTAGCTAGTGATGAGATCGGTGATCATACTGACTAATATACTCATGACCAAAAGGAAGACAAGTATCCAGAACAGGGCCAGCAAGCCCTTGCGCAGATCAATGTGTTTCAATCCATGTTCCTTGCTGCGAGCATGAGCAAAACAGCCGTCCGCGATTTTACGATGACGCGCGATGTGATAAGGTAGTGTGGAGGTCACAAGTTCCTCGTGATTTTTCTGCGACGAGCTAATCTCCACAACTCTGGGAGCTGGCATGAATTCATCTGTAGCTCTGGACTCCAACCTGGGAGGTATCCGCAACTCCATTTGTGAATGGGGCCTCCAGCTCCAAAGTACAGAGTCAGCTCATTAAAACAACCTGGCGACATCCGCTCCGAATTCTGTTGAACACCCGGTGTGGTCACGTGGTAGCTTGAACAAAACGTGGGACATGATTAGTGCCATCGATTTCTTCATGGTTAAATTCCTCAGAACGCCATGTGTGACCGGCTTTGCTACGTAGTTCGCTAGAATACAAATGCGCCTCGAAAGCAGATGAATTCCAGGTGTAATATGCAGCGGATGAGCCCTGTTCACCTAACTGGTGATGGAAACTGTTTTACGGAGCTCTAAGAAAAAAACATGGGATTTATGCGCAGCTTACAGTAAGGTAGATTTGGGGAATATGCGTTAAAAATTAGTTTCGTTGGACGGCACTGATGAGTGCTTTGCAATATCTGACTAGTTGTGCAAAAGGTGAGCGATGTGAGGAGTCATTTATGGATATATCAACTACAAAGCTGAGAAGATAGGGGGTAATGGCAATCCAGGCGCAATTTACATACGGAAATGGTGTGTCAGGGCTTACCAGAGGCTGCCTCTTGCTGAAGGTTTTCAGTGGACAGTGTTTCGGATGAGATAGGACGGTACTCAGCCGTAGTCAATGGTACTGACTTTTGTGAAGATTCGTCGCGGTTAAACTCAGGCAGACAACCACTACACATTCGGGAAAACGCTAGACGGCCATTTCGTCCTATTGGGACTCTTCAGTAGCGCGCACCTGCCGTATCCCGCCGGATTCGAACCCACGACCGTACTTTTGCGAGCCAGCGACTTATGCCACTGAGCCACAGGTTACGGCAACGGACAGCCATGACTGATATCTAACTGCGATATAGCGCGGCTCATCCTCCATTGTCATGCATGTTATGAACGTGCAGAGGACAGGGATGGCCCCCAGATTCACGAATTCCTTTGCAAGCCGCCACCAATCGAGGTGGCATGTAAGCTGCTAAGGCGACTACTCCTAAGTATACTGGTAAGAAGGATGGCTTGAGATTGATAGCTCAACGAGATTAGCCTGCGTGCTAGGCGAAGCAATCAAGACCTCAGAAATAAACCCATAGTTCGGAAGTGTTGAGTTGGGTGGACAAAAGGCATCCGGAGAAAAGCTAATAGCAATGAGACTGGATCTTACCGTGGTGCGATGATTTGCGTATTTCAGAGATCCATTGAAATGTGCTGGGTGGTGCCTTTTTGCAAATTCAGAGCCACTCATACCAAAATGGTCAATGATTAGAGGTCCGATAAACTCAGCCTCCTGGTCCTCCAGGCTGGGGTTTGGAATGAGGGTGGCTCCTTATTCCTTAAAACGGACTCCTTGTAGCCCAACGTCAAACCTACCGCCTTGCAGCCAAGATTTTTAACCAGAGGCTTTGGTTGAAAACCCTAATCGTTCTGCTGTTTAAGCATGGGAAACCAGATAGTATCCTGCCCACGCAATACTATGAAACTCTAGCTTCAGTATCGAGCAGGGTGGATAGGGGTTTGGATGCTACTGCTCAAGCCTTCCCGTCTTCTTATTCCACCTTTTACGCTTGTTCTCCCATTTGGTCCCGTTCCAACTTCACTTTTATTCGCCCAGTTTTCATCCCCAGACTGTTGGCCGTCGCCCAAATTGCTTTGATGGGTGTTTATCTCTTAGTTTCAACTCACATGTGAACGCCGTATGTCATTGTTTGTTGACGAAGTCATGGAACTCGCGTTTACAGGACATGACTTAGAAGGTGTGGATCTGCTCCCATGAGAACGACTTCTTGACTTGGAGTATGCTGATGATAGTGCCCTAATCTGTGACAGCTCCCAGACGTGCCAAGCGGCACTGGACAGATTAGCACTAGCTGCCCGTCACTTCGGGCTTTGCTTCGCACCCTCGAAGTTCAAAGCGTTCCTACAAGATTGGTCTGGACCGCCTCCTACGCTGACCGTTGTTGGGGATCAGCTAGAAGTCGTTCAACAATTCATCTACCTGGGAAGTTGTATCAACGCTCGTAGGACTGAAGATGGGATCACGAACCGTATAGCAAAAGCTCGGGGTGCGTTTGCTAACCTTCGCCACTTATGGTGCCGGCGCGATATCACTCTTGCCCTGAAGGGTAGAGTGTACAATGAAGCGGTACGTTCGACCCTACTGTACGCTTGTGAAACCTGGCCGCTAAAGCAACGGACCTGAAGAGGCTAGTTACGTTCGACAACCGGTGCCTTCGTAATTTAGCTCACATCTGGTGGGAACACCGCGTGAGCAACGAGCGTGTTCGACGCCTCGTTTATGGCACAGGAAAAGGAACTGAACCGCTCAGCACCGTTATTTCATGCATCAGGCTCCGATGGCTCGGCCACGTGTTACGCATGCCAGCCCACTGCCTCCCGTGACTTGTGTTGTTTGCGCGCCGGGGGTGTGGATGGAAGGAGAGGAGAGGTGGTCAAGCGATGACTTGGTCGAGAGGAATGAAGGCCCTCATTTCTGAGCTGGCCTCGGTTGGTGCGTCTCGGCTCCCTGGTTGGGGTCCAAAGACGATGAACACGTTTGGTTGGACACACTTGCTGATATGGCTAGGAGCCGACCTCAGTGGCGTTCGTACTGTGAGTTTGGCCCATCCCATCCCTCTTAGCCTCTCCCTCCAACCACAATCTCATTATTTAGCCTTATATAATTTTTCATAGTAATTTTTTGTGTGCCCAGCATCCATCTGGTAGCTTACCGGAACGATGCCCATTCGTTACCGGTAGCTCAGCCGGCTTGCACCAGTTGCTTTTTTTCTCTCCTTTTTTCTATGTATTGCGGCACAGTATCTGAGGCGTTCCCCACCTCCAGCTAACGTGTAGTATGATATGATATGATGATACGATCCCGGTCCAGTCGACAAGCCCATGTCCGACCAAGCGGTCCACCCCATTCCGTCGTCTTCCATTTGGAACCCTCGACGCTCTTTCAGATTGGCATGCCTCAATGTACGCACATTGCTACAGATCAGTCAACAGACAGCACTTGCCCAAACATTAGAGACTCTCTCGATCAATATCTGTTGCTTATCGGAGATCTACCTGCAAGACGCTTTGTGATCCCCTTCAAGTGACACCAGCAACGCTTTCTCAGTGCGCCTAACCAGTGACGATGCAGCTTCGAGCACCGGCCAAGCCGGCGTTGGTATTGTCCTGAGTGCCTGGGCTGCAGCTGCTCTGGTCGATTGGATCCACATCAGTACCTGGATGTGTGCTATCCGATTAGCTGGCTCGTTCAAATCCTTGAAGTCGCGCAGGACTAATAGGTGGCTATTCGTCATCGCTGCCTACGTGCCTATAGACCGTAGGGATGACTCGGTAAAAGGCGACTGCTATGGCTAACTGAATGACCTACTTCGCCACAGAAGAAGTACGGACACTGTATTGCTGGCTGGGGGATCTGAACGCTCAAGTTGGAAAATTAGCAACTGCTGAACTGCATCTGGATGGCTAACAGTGTAGGCTCCCTAGTGATAACGGTGAGCAGTTACTTCATTCGTGTGAAGATGCCCGCTTATGTCTTGCGAGCACTAACTTCCTACACAGCACTCGCCAGAGATTGACTTGGCGCCCACCAGCTATGGACGCAGAGCGATCACATTGCAACCGGTTACCGCTGAAGAGGATGCGTCCAGAACTGTCGCTCGATTTAGAGCACATGTGTGGACACCGATCATGCACTTATATGTGCTGACTTGTGGATGCGTTTCAGTGGACGTTCACGACGACGCTGTGGGCGCATTGACAACAGACAATTGGCGAAGCCAGCTGTTCGGAATGGGTATCGAAGTACGCTCATATGCGGGTTGTGTAGATACCCACTGGATACAATTGAACGTCACTGATATCATGTTCGCCAGATCTTACTAGCAGCAGGCAAATCCTCATGTGTTAAGTCTACTAGGCAACATGGACGTTGGGTCTCTTCGTGGTCTCTGGAACTTCTCAATGCTCGCCGGCATATTCCGGTTGGAAGCGAACACAATGAAACGCAAAAATCTCCGGGCAAAAATCCGTGCTAGGCTAAAGAGAAACCGCGAATTCTGGTGGTATCTTTGTGCGTCAGAGATGGCAATGGACGCTACCATTGGTAAATATCGGAGGTTATTTCCTCTGATGCGGAAAACGGGCAGCAGGAGACCTGGTGTTGGTGAAGCTATACGTAAGCAGAGTGGACAGACTATCCACAACTTATCAAAACGCTTGAAGCGTTTGGCTGAGCATTTTGAATATCAATTTACTCGGTCAGAATTGTCAGATTTCTTGCCGGCCACTGATCGCCCCGCTCCCCTGGGCTGTCCCTTTGGATCTGCCTCTCGCTAAGAAGTCGAATGTGATATCGAATTGCTGAAGTTGAATAAAGCCGCCGAACCAGGTGTTCTTCCTTCAAATTAGGAGCACCTGCTCTTGTTGATGATTTACACGAATTACTAGTGAAACTGTGGGAACAGGAAATTGTCCCAACCGACTGGAGCTGCTCCCTCATAGTCCCAATTTTCAAGGGAGCCCCACGTTCAGAAGGTGGCAACCCCAGAGGAATCAGTCTAATCTCCATCGCTTCCAAATTGTTTGTCACTGTCATCCTTCACAGACTGACTGGCATCCAGGAAAGCCAGATTCGTGAAGAGCAAGCTGGGTTTCCTCGAAGTCGCGACTGCAACGACCACGCCTTCAGTTTGCCTCAGTTTTTAGAGTACCGTCACATATATTGGCGGTCCACCGTTGTCGGGGTCCTCGATATTAAAGGTGTCTTCAAGTCGGTGGATAGGTGTGCATTTTAGGACTGTCTACTCCGAAGAGGTGTGCCCGAGAAATACGTAAATGTTATCAGAGCATTATACGCGCGTAGCTCGGACAGAGTGAGGGCTTACGGCAAGCTGTCGCCGCCCTTCAGTACCTCCAACGGTGTGAGACAAAGATGTCCGCTGTCACCTTTCTTATTCATCTTCGCTATTGACGAAGTTATGAAGAGCGCGATCACAGAA